CATCCAAGCGCGACTAAAGCTTCAACAAGGCTAGGGAGGATCTTGATCGATGAGTTTTACTTGTTATTTTACTTTGATTCCTTGAGAGATTTCAATGTTTAATTTTGTTCTTGATAAACCCAGAAGTTATATTCTTCAATTTCTATATAAGATTAGTCATGCTCTTTTTATGTGAAATTTGTTAGAAAATAATTGATTGGGTAGATTTATTTTATGGGGTGATCCTTTACTGCAATACTGTCAGTTTGACATATTGTCGTTCTTAGATAGTTTGTAAGAATAAATCGTTCTGTTCTTCATTGAAATTTAATTTTCTTTGAACAAATACTTTTGTTCTTATCATTGGTTTTTAAAGTTATATTTTCTGATTGCTTTTCTGGGATGTGAAACCTCCAATTGAGTAATAAATAGGAATCAAAGTCGAGAATAGTTGAACAAATCGATCAAGTGAATCTCGAAGCCTTGTTCATCACAATACTACTTTTCATCCTTTAATCATTGTTACTTTTATTCAAATATTTTTATTCTTATTTTTATTTTTAGAAAATCATTTTTTTAGTATATTTACTCCTAGCAATAACTCCACTTGTTGGTTTAATTAGCTTCTCTATTGATTCGACACCTAAAGATACGCTTCAATGACCGCTTAGCCAAGGGTAATAATTTTGGACGAGACACTCGAGGCCCCCGACACAAGCACTACGCTGACCATTGGGTCATTCCATTCCGGTATGTGCAAAAAATAATCCACCAAGTGTGAACTACACTAGGCTGAAACACACAAAAATATTGTTGTCATGCAAACCACAAATCCACACTTATCAGTCGCGTCCGCTCGCGTCCAAAGGCAAATGGGTCTAGGGTTCGGATGGCCAGGTGCCTGAGGTGCCTGACACAAGTACTATGCTGAACATTGGGTCATTCCATTCCGGTATGTGCATCCACACTAGGTTGAAACACACAACAATACTACTGTAATGCAAACTACACTTCCACACCTATCGGCCGTGTCCACCCGCGTCCAAAGGAAAATGGGCCCAGGCTTCGAATGGCCGAGTATCCGATGCCCTCGACACAAGCACTATGCTTACCATTGGGTCATTCCATTCTGATATCTGCATCCACACTATGATGAAACACAAATGGGTACTAGTATCATGCAAACCACACTGTGACACCTATTGGCCACATCCACGCGCGTCCGAAGACAAATGGGTATGGGCTTTGGATGGGTCATTCCATTCCAATATGTTGACCATTGGGTCATTCCATTCCAATATGTGCAAAAAATAATCCTTCAAATGTGGACTACACTAGGTTGAAACACACACCAATACTACTGTCATGCAGACCACACTTCCACACCTTTCAGCTGCGTTCGCCCGCATCCAAAGGCAAATGGGCCCGGGCTTTGGATGGTAGGGTGCCTGATGCCCCTGAAACAAGCATTAAACTGACCATTGGTTCATTTCATTCCGGTATGTGAATCCACACTAGGATAAAACACAAATCGGTATTGGTATCACGCAAACCACACTTCGACACCTATCTGTCGTGTCCGCACGTGTTCAAAGACAAATTGGCCCGGGCTTTGGATGGACGGGTGCCCGATAACCTTGACAAAGGCACTATACTAACCAATGGCTCATTCTATCTCAATATGTGCATCCACACTAGGCTGAAACGCACAACATATTGATCCTATGCATACCACACATCCACACTTATTGGGCACGTCAGCCTGCGTCCAAAGGCAAATGGGCCCAGGCTTTGGATGGCCGAGTGCCCGAGGCCCCTAACACAAACACTATAATGACCATTGGCTTATTCCATCTTGGTGTGTGCATAAAATAATCCACCAAATGTGCACTACACTAAGTTGAAACACACAATGATACTGATCCCATGCAAATCACCCATCCACACCTATCAGCCGCGTTCGTTCGCGTCCAAAGGAAAATGGGCCTAGGCTTTGGATGGCCGGGTGCCCGAGGCCCCTGACACAAGCACTATAATGACCACTAGTTCATTTCATCTCGTTAAGTGCACAAAATAATCCACCAAATGTGGACTACACTAAACTGAAAAATACAACAATACTAAACCACACATCCACACCTATCATACGCGTCCACTCGCGTCCAAAGGCAAATGGACCTGGGGTTTGAGTGGTCCAGTCCCTAAGACCCCATTACATGTACTATAATGAACATTGGATCAATCCATCTCGATATGTGCATTAAATAATCCACTAAATGTGGACTACACTAATTTTGATTTCGTTGTTGTTAACTTGTTAAGTCCTACGTATGGATATATGTATTTAGGAAGATAAATCATTTATGGTGGAAGTGGATAAATATACTAACATAACACATAAAGACTAATGAGATAAAAATCTGGTAAATGCAGGACATGGGAGATTTATGAAAGAAAGTACTTTTATAGAAACAAGTTTAGGTAAACAGATTATAGGCAAAATGTTTGATCCGACATAAACATCCGATCATTTAGACATAGTCCGATCTGATTAATGGTGACTGCTTCCATCATTTTGTGTACCGATATTCTGTAAGCGTTCCACCTCGTCACGCAATTGCAAAAACTCACGTCTCAATGCTAGATATGCTGTCCTCACGTCCTCTAGTCCGGCCTCCCATTCAAGGCAAATACGTTGGTACTCTTTAATGGCATTGAATTTTGCATCCCTTATGTTGATCCGTCGGCGTGATCGCAGATATTGGATGGCCACTCGGGCAGCCATTTCAACGGATGCATCGGGAGTATCAGTTGTGTTCCCATAGAAGTTTCTCACATCGCCCCACGTAGTCACAGTAACTACTACATAAAATTTGTTGCCCAAAGTATTTATGGTAAATCTTGGAGGTGGGAGGTGGCAAGCAACAGCAGTTCGCCTCAGGACATGTAAAAAGTGAGAGAAAATGGATACCTAACAAAAACGATATTAGTTTCATTAATAACTTAGAAAACGGGGGAAAAAATTCTTGCCATTGCTCAATTACATAGAATAATAAAGATAAAAAAAGAGAGAAAATGGAAAGAATGACAGCGAAGGAAGAAACAAAGAGAGTTAGAATCTTACATTGTGCGAACAACTTGGTTGTTCAAATGCTTCAAACGAGATCAAAATAAAGATCAAAAAATGAAGGGAAATGCGGGATTTACAGATAAAAATGACATAGTGCGAGGAAAGAAATATAGAATCTTACCTTGTCTTCCACTACTCGAATGAAAAGGTTCGGTCTTCGGATGTCGCGTATAAAATATGAGTAAAACTAGTAGAAAATAGTGAGTAAAAGTAGATGTTCGTCTCCTTCAAACAAACACCGATGAACGAAAGAAACGAAGAAGGAAGTTGGGAGGGGAGAGAAGATTAACGTCGTTGGGAGAGAGAAAATGAACCGTGGAGGAGTGTTACGGGTATTCCTGGGTTCTTCAAACGAACGCCAGTGGCAGCCCTCCACTTGCAGAAACTCTATCGTCTTCTTCAAACGAAGGACGTTGGGAGGAGAGAGATTAACCGCGGCGGGATGTTAAATGAGGGGTATTTCTGGGTTTTCTTATGAAGGGCCGATAGTCAATTGGGTACCAGGGGTATTTTGGGTATTTTAATAATATGATAGAACGTTGGGCTGACGTGGGTGTGGGTTAGTGGAGTTGACGGAAATTTGAATTTGCAGGGTATAAAAAATCAAAATTTGTAAAGTAGTACAGTGCTGTTGAGGTAAATTTTTATGCCCTGGGCGGTAAATTTCCCAAAATAAAAACACCTTTTTCTAATCTTCTCCAATAAGAAAAGAGTTCAATCAAGGAATAGCGGTCATTGCTAGTATACAAATTAAGCCTGTTTTCGGTTTTCCATAATGTGGATGTGTGGTTTCAAATTTATGGAAAATTTCCTTTTCTGCAGGACTTTTTTTAAAAGCTAGCTAAAAAGAATGTTCCAGAATTCTGAAAGCAAACCGCCAGAATCTGCCTTTTATACCTTGTAGACTTTATGTTAGGAGAATGAATTGTGACCACACAACCCCCTTGAATTGGTATATATGCCACTTCGTGACCCCAAGTCCCTTTTGATAAATACAGCTCCCATAAAATAAGAGGTTGAGGTTTTCCTATCCTAGTGGATGATAACGATGTTTGGTATGACTTCCATTTATTTGATAACGTACTTGATCTGTCTTCAAAACTGAGAAAAAGTAGTAGATAAACATTAAGCACCACACAAGCAGAATAATAAATAAACACATTAGTTTACGCATAAACCAAAACAAACGTTTGTTTGATAAACATACTTACCAAATAGCACTTTGGCACAAACGTCCACATGACAATGATTCGACACCATTTATCAAATAAACAGAAGCCCCAAACACCATCAAGGTTATCCATTGCATGCAAGATCTACTGCGGAAGTTGAAATATAGAAAAACAAAGAACCGATTTTCCCTGTTTTGAAATTCAGTCTTAGAGAGTAGGGCAAACGCAACAACATTCACGAGTACCACTAATTACCACCTAAGGGTTAAGAAACTTAAATTAGATTGATCAAATAAAACACATATTAGATTTAAAAAAAAAAAAAACTGCTACTGGGTACATCAAATATAATTGAGATCAAAGAGACTCTGAAGTCTGAAGAACGAGGTTTAAAGACCGAGTTTGAGGGACGAGTATCCAATGAGTTATTCAGCATGAACCGTTTGAGTGGTTGTACACTGATTAAGATTACCTTAACCTATGGGTCCCAATTCCAGTAGGGATCCCTTGGATCATTCCTTGTGCATGTGCAACATGTACAAAGATGTGACCTTTGTGGCTCGCCCCAAAACATCTGCAATCTACATACCACTCCTCCCAAAATGGACGTGTGGGCAATGTTCTAGTCTCTGGAACATGTAGCTGCACTAATCAAAAGTTCAAAATCTAGAAAACATGTATCTATCTATATATATGCATGGCCAACATGTACTTGTATATGTAGATATACTCAGTACAAGCATGAGCTTCATTATTTTTATTATATATGATTGGTAACTTACAAGATTGAGCTTCAGCTTCATTAAAATGATAACCTGATGTTACAAGTTACAACACTACCCCTTCAAGGATGGTTTGTCATGGCAGTATGTTCGACAGAACCATGAGTTTCAATAACAAGCACAATTGATTCTTCGTTGCTGAACTCACATTCCTCGTGTTCTCTTCTGTTACCGGATAAGTCGTCTTCACTGCTACTACCAGAATGCTCCCTGTTCTCTCCTCTTCTCCCTCCTTCAGCTCCTCCCTGACCAGATCTTCCATCCTCTGGGAATCCCTGATCGGTTTGTGCTTCATTGGCTTGCATTTCTCCATTGCTGTCAGAAGGATTAGTTCCTGTTTTAGCAGCGGGAAGGAGGGAGAGGCGGCAGAGAGGGCAGGTGGTGTGGATGGCTAGCCAATGGTCAATGCATTCCATGTGAAATGTGTGGCCGCATGCAGGTAGTTGTTGAAGCCTATCCTCAGCTTGGTAGTCCCCTAAGCATACTGAGCATCTGCAAAAGGAAAATGGATGTATGAAATTTTAAGCCAGGAGTAGGATAAAAACTCCAGTTTCAACATCAAGAATTATCAATTAACTTGTTCCAGTAAGGTAACTTGGAGTCAAAGAAATGGAGTGATTGATTTTTTTTCTTCTCTGGGGCCCATGAGACCATTGAAATTGTATCTAGCAAGCTAGGAGATTCTTAGGCTTTTTTCCCACCTTTCTGTCTTAGGAAACTAATTGATGCTTTCATATTTTACAAATCTAGGACAACTGAATTAATGCACACAATAAAACCCTAATCAACACCCTGTCTTTTATTCATTTTCCATTTTGTCCCCTTTTTATTCATATAAGACTTGCAACAAGATCCACATCCCAATGTGGCATGTTCGTAGATTTGGTGACTTGGTGTTAAGTTTGGCATGCTAGATAGAGGACTGTTGCACTCTTCGTTTCCAGATTTTGGACTGGTGAAATCACTAGTCAGTGACAAATTCCTGATTCTTCGGAAGTAAGAAACACAATTCAGCATGCATGCCCATTAGTGGCCAAACCATGGAAGTGGAAGTTTGAACTTTTAACAAGGATCAAATGATGTACGAGGTGTCCTTCATACAAGTATACACTTTCACCAGTTAATCAGTCCAGTATCTAGTTTTTCAGGCAGTAAGGCTCTTTTATGAACGAAATTCATGCAGTTATTCATGAAAAAAAAGGAAAAGAAAAAGAAACGGAACAGTTATTCATCAAAAAAGAAAAAGAAAGAAAAAAAATCACATTTCAGGCACTATGGGACAGCATGGAAGTGATGAGCCACAATCTGACCATAGGATCTTGTTCTGATTTAGAAAATTGAGGTCCTCTTGTCAGAAAAAAAAAGGGACCTCTACCTTGTTTTCTTTGCCATTTAAATAGTTCATCTTCCCTTTTCCACAAACATAGAGCTTGGCACACAGAAACCATTCTAATTAGGTATGTCCATCAAGCTTTACAGTGGTAACTTGGACATTAGGGTTATCAGACATTCCCATGAGTGAAACACCAGTCCCTGAGACAATCTTGAGATCACTATTAAAAGACATCTTTCAATAAAAGTTCTCCCTTTTAAACTAGAAATAGTTTCTAAAGAGCAAACAAAAGGGGGCAACAGCAACATATAACTTTCTGAGATGTTCCTACTGCACGCTAATCACCATAACATTCACACATGACACTGCATACCAACCACAGCAGATGCCAAGCCTTAAACAGCCTGAAAAAATAGAGCTGGACACTAAATATATTGAAGAAAAAATTTCACAGAACCTTCAATGCTCATCCAAATCATACAACAGTACTTTCAAATTCCTCCAAAAAGTCAGCAACCCAATTGGTACAACAACCAAATTCGTTATCTTGAGTCAAATCTATATTTTTCTCAAAAAAATCATCAAAAATACCAAAACAGCCGCAAAATGGCATGATATCTACACCAGAATTCTTCTAAAATCACTCTTAAGGGGCAACCCAGTGCATGAAGCTCCCACCAATGTAGGGTCTGGGGAAGGACAGATGTATGCAGCCTTACCCCTGCACATACAGAGAAGCTGTTGCCAAGATTTGGACCCTGGTCACCCAGGTCACAATGGAGGAACCTAACTGTTGCACCAAGGCCCACCCTCTTCTAAAATCACTCTTGATAAAAAAAAATATATATAGGGTTCTTTTTGTTGGGTGCATCAGCTGTCCATGAATTGGGATTTGCTCCTTACAGAGTGCTCCTCACACCGACCTCACAACACATCCCACCATGCATTGAGAACATCTCCCCATGAATAACAAAATACAAAGTCACAAACAATAGGATATGTTCCCAATGTGTGGCTAGGATGTGCTGTGAGGCTGATGTGAGGAGCAGATCCAGACTCGCTGTCCATAGAGTCTGTTGGTATCATCTAATGACAATGAAAACATCAGCACAACAAGAAGTGTGTAGGGTTGACTAAGAAACCTTGAATCTCTACTCTAACACCAACTGGAGAGTTTTGTTGATTAAATAGCTTGTTTAGAGAAGAAAAGAACAAAAAGAGGAAGAAATAAAGAGGAGAGAAAATATTTGAGACTTGAGAGGTCTAAAACATGGGCTGCTAGCCCTTCTCATTAGACGATCCATCTGTGGGAAGGTAGGGTAAAGCAATAATGGAGGTCTACCTGAAAGACAGTAGATGGCCCTGTGGAGGTGAAGGAGGAAGAGTTGCAGAGAGAGCTTAATGGAGGCTGTAATGGAGGTTGAGAACATAGTCTACCAGAGCTTCCACAGGGAGAGGATAATTCATGCGTGAGGAGAGCCTTGAGTCTCTCTATTTACAGAGGAAAAGTCCCCCACAGAATAGGAAATCATGTAATATGAGAGGAAACTTTCCCTGAAGCGGGAAAAGTTTGTTATTTGGTTAGATCTGGGATAGAGAGGTCATGAGTAGTCTTTAGCCATGTGTCACTAGGAGATCCCAAGGTCTGCGTTCCCACCCTTCTCCTCGGGGTCCACACATGAGCACGAGCTCAGCTACAGCCTTGCTTCTAAAAGATTCTCATGCCTTAGACATTTGTCTGAAACATTAAAGCATTGGTTTATCATCACAGTTATTTTGGTGTGTTATACTGCTGCTCTGTGGTGCTCAGGTAATGCATTGTCACAGACCTTTGTGAGTACATTATCTGTAGTGCTTTGGTGATACGTCATCGCAGTGTAGAAGATTACTGCACTGATTCATTGAATCGTAGGATGTTAGTGTCTGCGGTAAGCTCGGCCATGTTCTGCAGTATGACAATGATTTACTACGTCTCATGGAGAGTATGCATGTTTGTTGTGAAATAACCCCTGAGTGGGACTGTGCTGTAATTCACCAAACTTGGATTTGTGATGCAATGTGAGTTGTTGTGGTCACTTACTCAAGTGTCTACAACGCACTCTCCATGGGGTCTAAATCCATGTACTTACACCATCCATAACTACTACAAATAAATAAGGGCCAAGTGCTGAGCCTTGGTTAAGTCCCATTGTGACTGAAAATTCCTGTCTCTCCCATAGGTGTTCTAAAATTGATAGTTGCACCCTCATGCATGTCATTAATAAAGTCTAGGGCTGTAATTAGATCAGATTCACCAACATCTGAATCCAATTGGATTTGGGGGTCTCAAATTAGATTTTGATTTAATCTGACTCCGCTTTATTTTTAAATATAGAGAAAAAATAAAAATAAAAATAATTATTTTTTAACTTATATAATAAATTAATATAAATATGAAATATTGAATTTATTATATATTTATATATAACTTTATATATTTTTATATTTATATATATTAACAAAGAAAAATAGAAGAAATAAGGAAGAAGAAGAAGAGAGGAGAAAGAGAAGAGAAAGATTTGGAGAGTGAATCAGTTCTGGTGGCGCTATAATTTTTTATTATATAGTGACACTTAAAAAGAGGGAAAAAGACTCTTATGCCCTTGCAGCACTTACAGAACATAAATAGTATAAAAACTAAGCTATTTTAACACTCTCCCTCAAGTTGAGACATAGATGTCAATCATGCCCAACTTGTCACACAAATCATTATGCCGCATGTGATAGAGACCCTTAGTGAAAATGTCTGCAAGTTGTTCTTTTGAGCTGCCATAGGAAGTGCATACTTTTCCACTCACAACTTTTTCCCCAATAAAATGCTTGTCCACTTTAATATGTTTTGTCCTATCATAGAGGACTGGGTTGGCAGCAATGTTGATAACAGCTTTGTTGTCCCAATAGAGTGACATAGGGCTGTTAATTGCAAACCCAGTTCACCTAACAGGTTCTTTATCCGCATGATCTCAGCAACTCCATGAGACATAGTTCTATATTTTGCTTCAGTAATGGACCTAGCCACCACACTTTGTTTCTTACTTCTCCAAGTGACTAAGTTTCCTCCCACAAAGGTACAATACCCACTGGTAGACTTTCTGTCATCGACTGCCCTTGCCCAACCAGCATTTGTATACACTTCAACTTTCTAATGCCCATGTTTCTGGAATAACAAACCAGCCCCTGGGAACTTCTTGAGGTATCTAAAGCCATGTTTGGGAGTGCTTATGTTAAAAATAAGTGCTTATTGAATAAGTACTTAAAAACAAGTGCTTATTCGAATAAGCACATATTTGCATTTGTCTCCCATCTTTTTCAAGTGCTTATTTTAAAAAATAAACACTTATTTCATATTGGGCATTTGGTAGTCTTTTTTTTTATCAATCATTTGGTAGTCTTTCTCTTAGAGCTGAGATCTTGGCAGTTATAAAGGTGTTTAGAAAGCTAAGGAAATGGGCGTCAGAAAACTCATAATTGAAGGGGACTCGGAGGTGGTAATAGGGTGGCTGAGGAAAGACAACTACAGACTATGGAAGTACAGCAATGAGAAAAGAAAGTTCAAGTGGCTGGTGCGGGAAATAGAAATAATGTTGAGTTGGGTTAATAGATCAGCTAACTTTATAGCTGATGGGCTAGCTAAACAAGGGACTGAAAGGGATGTAATGTTTTGGGCTAAGTTGAAATCATTTTACTTCTTTTTTCCTTTATTTTTTTGAGGAATTAAGCTGTCTTTGGAAGACAAGAGTGTTTGTCTTCCTTGATGTAACTATTCCTATCATATTTTAATGAAATTTATGAAGTTGTTACTGATCAAAAAAAAAATCATTTGGTAGTCTTTTTCTCCCATAAGCACTTAAATAAGCATTTATAACTATTTTGTCCTTCATTTTCTTTCAAATTTTACAAAAGAACTTTTATAAAAATACTTTTACGAAAGCATTTTTACAAAAGTACTTTTATGAAAGCACTTTTGTAACAGTACTAAGTACTTTTATGAAAGTGCTTTTACGAAAGTACTTTATAAAAGCACTTTTATAAAAGTACTTCTAGGAAAGCATTTTGATAAAAGTACTTTTATAAAAGCACTTTTACGGAAGTAGCTTTATAAAAGTACTTTTACGAAAGC